TCTCTCTCTCTCTCTCTCTCTCTCTCTCTCTCTCTCTCTCTCTCTCTTTCACACACACACACACACACACACACATACACATACCACACCTAAACCTGGGAAGAGAGAAAGAAGAAAGAAGATGGTGAAATATGGAAGTGAATGCAGTGCCCTCGCTGTCAAGGCCCTATCTCATAATTACTATTTTCCAGGATTAGCTGGATCTGAAAGCTGCGTGACCTTGAGCAAGTCAATTCCCTTCTCTGGACCTCAATTTTCTCATTTGTAAAAAAGGAGCACAGGAATAAATCTCCCTCAGGGACACCTCCTTCCCCCCCCCCCCAAAAAAAAAAATACTCTCCGGTTCTTTAGGGTCTGAGGAATCCTGGCCCAACCCAACCCCCAGGACCTATTGAAGTAGTTTCCCCAAAGTGGATAGCCCTTGATCTTCCAGTAGGGGCGACCAGGAGTATCCATCTATGCTAGAAAACCCGGACTCAAGCTTCTCTGCAAGGTTGGAGGACCCAAAAGTTTCTCATTTATGTTCCAGCTGGACAGGATCTGGATCATGCTTCATCTGCAGTCCCCAGTCCCCAAACAGCCAGGAGCTCCCTCCCTGCCTGCTACTGGGTTTGGGAGGATCATATCCCCACCGTTAGCAGAACCTTCCTGGGTGGGTGGGTGAAGGGATCAGACTCACTCTCACTAGGGAACAGCCTAATGAGTTCCCTAGGAACGTTCCACCGCCACGTTCCAGGACAGAGAAGTGGCCACAAGTGTCCCCACAGGACTTCCCACTGGAAGGGAAGTGCCACACTCCCAAGCCATCACCCGAGTGAAGAGCCTCTCATCCTGACCCGCCGATCCGACAACCCCCTCATGACAAATTAGGAAAGGAGGCCAAGAGTGGACACCGGGTTTTGTCCACGGTCGCACGGGTTGCAGAACCGGCTCTAGAATTGAAGTATCTGGTTGCTCTCTCTCTGTCTTGTTAGCCCCCTAGTCTTGGAAGGAAGCAAAGGCAGGATAGGTCGGGTCGGTGGGACGCTAAGCTCAGAAGTCCGCAAGGGAAAACCTTCACGGCAGTGCGAGCAGCGTTTCCCCAGACCCTTTCCTGCCTGCTGGGCTGGGGCTGTCTCCAGCTCCCGTCTGGATTTCCGTCTGCCGGTGCGAACCGCCCGCCCAGTCTCTCCCGCCCTGTCCCGTCCAGATCCATCCGCAAACATGTGCTCAGCCGGCAGGAATGCGCCAATGGCTCCCAGATGTGGACGCTGACGCTTAACCCCTTCCCCTCCATCCGAGCCCCCTCCCCCAGGGCCTTCCAGCCTAAGCCCCATCGACCACAGGGGCCTCCACTCAAGTAAGGATCCAGCCTGCCAGGGGAGTTAGAGCCAGCCCACTTCCAGCCTCTACAAGCTTCTCCCAGCCAGCCTAGTTCCTACCAGCTGAGACCAGAGGGGAAGGTTCATGGACTGAAAAATGCAAGTGGGTATGCACAGTTACACTGCCTCCAACATGTACGACCTTCACATACACCTGCCAGCATAAGGATTCAGGTACATTCGTGCACGCAGAGATTTAGACATCTTCATACAAATGCATACCTACCTGCACATTCAGAGAACAAATGTATACACCCTCAAAACACATGTATGCACATCCAGCAAGAACAAGCACATGCATGCAGACATGTGTACACACACAAGGGCATGAAGCAGAGGGTGGGGCATGCTTCTGAATCAACACAGCAGTAAGCCCATGTGCAGATGAGGAAAGAAATTCATGCACACACAAACCCACCCCCACAGAGGGTCAGACACTCATAAGACTGTGCCCATATGTACAAACACATAGCCAGCACACCTTTGGGGTATTCCCTCCCCAGGGCACCCAGTACCACCTGTCCGGGGCCCAGTCTTACCCAAAATTGACTCCTGGAAGCAGGAGAAGTTGGGGGAGAAGGAATTTCCAATCCCCAGTAGCAGCTGAACTCCAGCTGTGCTGGACTCCAGCTGTGCTGAACTCGAGCTTCCAGCCCCTCCCACCAAGGACCCTGATAATGGAGAAGAGTGCTCAGGAAGTGGCAGCAGAAGACCAGCAGAGGGAGAAGAGCCACCAGGCAAGAGGTACCTTAGTCTTTAGGAAAGACACTCCTCCAGGAGGCCTACCCTTCCCCGGCATACAGGAGATAGGCTGGCAGAGCATCTGAGCCCTGGTTTCGTGAAACAAGGATCCCTTTTCAGACTGACAGGAAGCCAGAGAGAGCTTGGATAGGTAGGACATCCAGTGACAGGTCCCAGTAGTCAAAGGAGATATAAAATAGCCCTAGGAGAGCCCACACTTCTAGCAAAACAAGACCTTCTCTTCTCATAGCCTGTGGGAATGCCTCTTTAGGCATTTCATTAAGTGGAATCTAAAGAGAGAATGGGAAACAGTTGTCTCTCCAAGACCACCTGGATGCAGGTGGGGTAGGAGACTTCTACTGAAACCAGCCCCATCTGACCCTTCTTTTCCCTTGCCTCCCAGATTATTTAAAAAAGGTGTTCCTCTCACAGTTACCTTCAAGGCACCATCTCATTTGACTCAGTCCTGAGGGGGCAAGGCTCTTGTTTCCATTGTATAGAGAAGAAACAGACTCAAGGGCTGAGGTTGTGGCTCAGTTGTAGAGCACTTGACTAGCATGTGTGAGGCACTGGGTTCAATTCTCAGTACCATATATAAATAAATTAATAAAACAAAGGCTCATCAACAATATATATATATATAATCTCAAAAAGTAAGTTACCTTTCCAAGTTCATATAGAGCTGGGATTCAAACCCCAGTCCTTTCCCCAATGCCCCCTGTGCCCAACCCTGACAGCATTTACGCCAAATCAAACATTCCACATCATTCTGTAGCCTGCAGCTTCTTCCTTTAACCTCTCAACAGAGCACATGGGAGAAACACCATTCTTGCCTAGCTTTGCAGGTTTATGGGTGGGGCCAGATCGTGCCAGGAGAGATCTGAGAAAGCACTAGGGACTACACATATAACACTCTACCTCCTCCCCAAGCATGGTGCCCACCTGCCTAGCAGGCATGGCTGGGTGACTCAGCCGCATCCGGGGGAGATGCCAGGGCAGTGACTCACCTACCGAGAAGAGCAGAGTCTGGCCCTTTGCCAGCCCCAGGACAGAAGCGACTTAGTCACCACAGGGACTGCACTGCCCTACAGGCATGGTCCAGGGATCAGGGACAGGGGCAGGCTGTGCCCTTCCATGGTTACATGCGCCCCCTGGTGAAGGTAGGCTTCAGCATCCTGGAGTGAGCTGAGGCTGTGCCTGTCCCTGCCCCTCACTACTATCTACCCCCATCACACCAGGCCCTGCTCCAGTGCTGACAAGTTCTGTGAGACCCCTGGGCTGCTCTGCCCTCCTGCAGCCTGCCCCCTGCCCATCACTCACCACCCACTCTCCTACCTGCCCCACCTCCTTCTGCCACCCAAGTTGTACCCAGGCTGAGTCTCCTTTAACATGTCCTGGCAGCACCCCTGCCCCCACAGCCCCCCTCCCCCCCCCCCCCCACATACATATACATGCACTTGCATATACTTCTGCCAGTCTTGCTTCTGCCAACAGCTGCTGAAGTTGTTGAGAGGGAGGGAAATCAGGAGGGTGGGGTACAGGGATTGAGTTACTAGAGCTAATGGGGTGGGCTGTCACCCAATCCCTTCTCCAGCTAGTACCCCCACCATCTCCCTCACCCACCTGCCTCCCTCCCCACCTCTGGCTGGCAGCCTCCTGCCCTTTGAGCTTCTCCACCCCCACTCCACCCAAACTAGGAAATAAATGTTCAAGAGTATTTGTCATGCTAAGACCAGCCCAGCATATGAAAGAGAATGAAAGAGACAGAGATGGACATAAAGAGTAATTCCTGTGCTCAGTGTTCTGGCTCCACACTAGGTGTGTGTATCTATATATATGTATGGAAGGGGACTGAGTAACTTTAAGAGTCCCAGTGGAGTTGGTGAGGCCCAAGGGGAGTTGACAAGCTGAACAGCCTCAATCCATTTGCACTATTGATTTCTCACACATTGCAGCAGGACTGATGGGAGGGGCATGATAAATCAGCACCCCCATACACAGAGAAACTGAGTGGAGATGGGGGAGGGGTTCCTGCACCATAATTTGTGACCTACTGGGAGCTGCTTGGTGGGGAGGGGTGTGTGGCAGAGGAACCAGAGAGGTTGAGAGGCAGGAGATAGGATGGGGGAGAGGGTGTTGGATTAAGGGCTGTCTGGAACACCTCCTCCCAGCTGAATCTGAAGCTGATTTGAAGAAAGAAGGTGGGGAGATAGATGTACCATGCTTGGTTACACAGACAGGGCCCTGGACAACTCCAGGGAGCACCATTCACTTCATAGTTCAAGGAATGGCTTCCTGTGCAACTGTATGACATGGTGGCCCTCGGGGAGACAGAACACAAACTGAATTCTGAAGGACCACAATTCCCCGCCAAATTTCTCCCCCTATCCCCCTAACTCTCAAATACCCACTCCTGCCTCCAGGCTTCAGAGGAGGGCTCCCTTCAAATTAGTGATCAAGAACTGGGGATATAGCTCAA